ATTAATTCATATTGTATTAATTTAGCAAATACTTACTGACTACCTAGTAAATGCCAGACACTGTGCTACAAACTGGGTATTTAAAGCTTACAGATTACAGTTAATTTATAGTGGGAAAAATAATTGAAAAGAGTTTCTTGGATTTTTCTTCAGTCTGAAAAAGATCCAATTCTATTTTCTTCTCTGTGAGTCTCTGAAATTAAAAAAACAAAAACAAAAACCTGAAAGGCTGTTAATGTGCTAGAATTTTCCTAGTTACCGTGCTCCTTCAGTTTAGCAAAGAATTATCTTTTATTAGAAGAGCAATAATGAAAAAAAAGTTTGTGGCTTAATCATTCAGATTTGGTGGAGGGAATATTAAAGTGTGTACCACTAAGATAGCGTTTAAATGGAAAATTGTTTTAGCCTGAAAGTCAGACATTATTCATTTAAACAAATTTTTTTCCTGCCCTAGAAATCACATAATTAAGAAGATTGAGACGGAAAATGAAGTCAGAGTCAATGGAGTGAACAGTTGGAATGAAGAAGATGCAGATAATGACTTGGGTTTTGTGGAGCCGGAGCCCTTCTTCCCAGGAAGGAAACAGAACGGAATTCCGCATCCCAGAGATGGCAGTGCCGTTTGCAACGGACACACTCATAGCTCTAACGGTGCCTTAAAGACACAGGACTGCTTGGTGCCCAGGGGCAGCGGTGTTGCCAGCAGCCTGTCCCCCGACCCTGCCCATGAGGAGGAAGCAGCCGAGAGGAGCGGCGGCGGCTTCAGAGACTGCGCTGAGCAACAGTCCCAGCAAAGCACCAGAAGCACAGATGCTCTGCGGAATCCGCACAGAACTAATTCCTTCTCCCTGTCACCTTTGCACAGCAACACTCGAGTCAATGGTGCTCACCACTCCACTGTTCAGGGGCCTTCAAGCACAAAGAGCACTTCTTCAGTCCCTTCACCGAGCAAGGCGGCACCCTCCGTGCCCCCCAGGCCCTGCCGCTTCATCTCGGACTTCTACTCTCGCTCGAGACTGCACCACATCTCCACGTGGAAGTGCGAATTGACTGAGTTTGTCAATACCCTGCAGAGACAAAGTAGTGGTATCTTTCCAGGAAGGGAAAAGTTAAAAAAAATGAAAGCAGGCAGGTCTGCATTTGTTGTAACTGACCCAGGTAGATACTTACTAAAATTGTTTTCTTAAGAAACAATCATGCTTGATCATTTGTTCTTAATCTGTCACTGGTATTCTCGTCAATACTAAGGTCTTGTAACATGGAAGTCTCTAGGAATAGCAGGTTATGTAAGTAACAGTGAGTATAACAGATGACAGAAAGCTTTCTTACTAAAAAATTTCTACAAAATTAGATTTGAGTGTGGCTAAGTGAACATTTTTAGGTAATTTAAATAGTAATGAGGTTGGGATTCTGAGCATTCATTCCTCCTGTAGACCTTATCAGTTGTTGACGTTTTGAACTGTAAAATATAGCATATTTTATATTCAGTGGTTAAACTCCTGTAAGAATGAATTGGTTTGGTAAGAGTAACTGTTAATTTTTAAAAGCTTGCGTCATAATGATTTATCAATAATTAAATAACTTTGTCATAATAGCTATTATAAGTATAGTGGTAAGCTTTTAGTGAGGTTAAGTATTTTCACATATAAGTAGGTTGGTTAATTGTATTTTGTTTTTTTAAATAGTTTTCTTGTCATCAAAAACAAACAAAACCAACAATAACAGGCTGTATTTCTGTGCCCGTCATTATAAATTGGTATCTGGTTTGAGGTTTTAGTTGCTTTTTATGGATTAAATGGGTTCCCCCTGGGGCGGGATCTCAGAGATTATCTAGTATTACCCTTTAATTTATAGCTGTGGAAACTGAGGTGCAGAGAGAAGCTCATGGTTCTCTCACAATGTGATAGAACCTCTCCATGTGGGTTTTTTCTGTTATGTTTTGCTGTGTTTGATGTATTCCAAATGCTTTTTGTTATTTATGAGATATTTCAAAATAATGTTATAGGTATTAGATTTTCCTTTTATCATGCCTTGGCCTTGTTACCTAAAGGTCGTTTAATTTTGAAAGCTTCAAAGAGCTATTACGGATCAGTTCTATGAATGGGAATAAGATGAGAGATTTTTATGTTGTATGAAAGCATTCAGTAGGCATTTAGTATATACATTCTGTGTGACTTGAATCTTTAAAACCATTATTTTGAGTTGTTTGCATTATGTGTGTATAATACTTTTATACAGCAGACTTATAATTGTTAAGGTTTATTTTATAAATGATTTCTCGAGGGAATATAGAGGGTAGCAAGGAAGTCCCTGGCTTTGGAGTTAGGTAATAGCCTGAGTCCACATCCTGGCTCTGCCACTCTTACGATGCAGAGCATGTGAGTTCACCTCTCTGAGTCTCAGTTTCCTGTCGGCACACAAGTGATAGTACAGGCAGAAAATAGGAACAAAGGTCCGGTGCCCTGCACCTAGTGAGAACAAGGTAAACTCTTTCACACTCACAATTTGGTAAATAGAGTTGTCTCAACATTTTGGGGAGTAAATGTAAGTTTTTGGAAGCCTGTTATGAAGATTAACCTCAGTACTGTTGTTCTTAAATCTAGCAGAGGAAAATTCCTTTATGAGATCATCACTTTTTACAAGTGTGGTGGCTTATGGGTCTCTGAAATTAGACTGCCTGGGATTGAATTCCAGCTCAGCCTCTTACTGGCTGTATGACTCAAGTTATTAATCTGCAAAATGGGGATAATAAGCTTACTTCTCTCATAGTGTTGTTGTGAGAATTTAAATAAATTAATACATGTGAACCTCTTAAAACAGTGCCTGACACCTACTTACAGAGCACTCGATAACAGTAGCAGTTTTTACTGCTGTCTTACCAAGGAATGTTGTTACTGCATAGAATAGTAATCATCTAAAGTAACTTAGGTCTGTGGAACTAAATATATGAAAACATCTTTATACATTTTTATAAACCATTCAGCCCACCGAAATAACTTGGAGATAAGCATTTAGACAGACTTTTAATTGGAGACTTGTTAGAATATAGACTAGGAAAACATGATGTCTTCACAATTGATTTTAAATTCTGTTTGGAAACTAAATTTGTATCTCTGAATTATTTCTAGAGCCAAAGAAACTGAAATTTGATTTCTCTTGAGGTGATAGAAGTAATCTATTATAGAATCTGTATTTTTTTAAAACTTTATTCTGCTTGTAAGCATTTAAAAATGTAATTTCTAAAATTAACCAGACCTGATTTTTTTTAAAATATTAAAAACTAGTTTGGGGTTTGAACATTCTGTTTTTCCTTCCAGGAACTATGTCAGTATTGAGTTCACCCAGACCTCAGAGCTGTATAATGCATGTTGATATGGATTGCTTCTTTGTGTCAGTGGGTATACGAAATAGACCAGATCTCAAAGGTCTGTATTCTCGTTTATGTATTAAGAAAACTGATATACTGTTATAGACGTTTATTCTAAGGGGTCACAAAGTATTCTTTAAGAAATATTTATTCTCATTTTCCTTGGCAAAATCAGTTCCTACTTCCAAATGTTCCGGACTCCATTATCAAGAAAGAGAGGGAAATTAGAAAAGTTTTTTCCTCCCTGTAGAGGCCAGGCCTTTAGGGAAGAATATTCCTCTTCAGCTGAACATCTAAGACTAATGTAGATAGGGACCTGCTTTGGGCATTTTCTATATTTTTAATCTATATTTATGATTACGTTGTCAATAAATGGAGATTTTATGGTAGCATATGTCTTTGCACCTTGAGTCACTATGCTTTCTCTTGAATGAATAGCTTGATTAACTGTCCTGATGCTAGGGAACATTCCCACTTTTTGGTTGTAGGGTAATTTTGTATTATTTACTTTATTTTTTTTTTAACATCTTTATTGGGGTATAATTGCTTTACATAATTTTGTATTATTGAATATTGCTAAAATACGTTGTCATCTGTGCAGTCTTTGTTTTAATGGAAATTTTAGGTATTTGTGACCTAGTCAATACTTTTGAAAATATTTATTCTCGATTTTTGAGAGTTCTGTGTCCAAAAGAGATAGCTATTAGTACTGTCTTCTGAGAGTGAATTTTCCCCTTAAGGAAAGCATAGAAACTGCCGGGGTTAATACTAGGGCTTTATTTTTATCACGGGCAGTTGCTGCTTCGGCTCTGATAGGAGTGTTTAGACTGTAAAGAGTTGATTTTAGCCCATGAGTGACTTTTTAATGCTTTTTTTTGTCCTCACAACAAATGCATTCAATGAAATATATGCATGTATATATATATATATGTATACACACACACACATGGATTATCCATGCTATTGCTTTACAAAGTTAGAGTTATCTTTTAACACAAACACATATAAGGAAATGATGCATGAAAGATATTATAACTAAACCAAAAATCTTGGGACTATATGTTCTCACCTTTGATTATATAGTAGGTCAGATTGTGATTCCTCTACATATACATTTAATTCGTTTTTTTTCTTGCTGTAAAAATAAAGATTAGTTTAGATGTTACGTTACTTTTCTGATACCAGAAATATTAAAAATCTAGATACAGTTAGTTTTTCTTTCTCTCCCCACCCTGCCAGTCTGAATCTAGGATCTGAGTTGCCTGTTTTCTACTGTAAGAAACCAGACAAAAACCATAGAAAGCTATGATAGTGTTGCTTTTAAGTTGAATAAATGCATCAAAATTGCCATAAATAGTTTACTTTTGGGGGGGTGCAGAGAAACATCAATAGATGACTTTTGCATAGCGACTGATAATCTTCAAAGATTTTGGCTCTTTTAGGGATTAATGCCTAAGTTAAAGCTAAAGAGAGATGTCTTATTTCTTAAGTGTTAGTGTTCCTGTACTAAGCTTTTATTCTCTCCTTACAGGAAGGCCGGTGGCTGTCACAAGTAACAGAGGCACGGGGAGGGCACCTCTGCGCCCTGGCGCTAACCCCCAGTTGGAGTGGCAATGGTACCAGAATAAAATCCTGACAGGCAAAGCAGGTACAGATAACGAGCCCTCTTTGAAGTCAGAGTGCTCCTGTTGAAGACTTCTGGATTTTGCTTTGGTATTGTTGTTACAGAAATAAAAGCAGAGTTGAAATAATTAGCTTTTTCATTCAAGGGTTTCAAGGGTGTCAGTGACATCTTAAAGCAAAATCCGAATGCAGTACAAATGAGTGGTTTAATAGTTACGCTTTGTTGAATTGGATAACGATACTTTCCTGGGAAAGAGAGAGAATGTTTTAAAGGGTGTGATTAGTTTGCTTTGTATAAATTTAGATTGGGGATGAAAATCATGGACATCGTTCTGTGGAAGCCTCTCCACTTGAAAGTTAATTACTTGTTGTTTGGTCACGGATCCCAGTAAGGGCACTAAAGTTTGTGTTGCCGAAGATGTGTATGAGCCAGTGGAGTGAGAAACAGTAAGGCTTTAATTTACTGGAATGAGAAGATAAGTGCTGGCAGTCATTCCCCATATCTTTGTTGAACCTGTTTCATATGAGAAACTTTTTTCTTGCCTCTCTGGCTCTTAAATTTTGGCTATTAGTAAACAAAAATCATAAATTATACTAATCACAGTGCTGTTAAGATTTTCATGTTTCTCCCCCCGCCCCCGCCTTCATTAAATTCCCTGAGAAATATTTGCTTAGAAGTGAAATTATTTGGCGTTGATCAGTTTCCTCATGAATGTCTGGAAAGCCAAAATTTTTTTTAATTAGTTTTTCAAAAAAATGTTAATCAGGAAACAGAAATTAGATATGCAGTAGAATGGAAGGCATGCAGTTAAATTTCGTCCCAATTATTTCAGGTCTCTAGTTTTCAGTTATAAAACTTTGGGCTTATTTTAGAAATGCTCTTAATGAAATTAAGACAAAAGGAAAGCCAGTAGACATCTCTGAGAACCTTTTCGGGATTACATTCCTCTTGCTGGTTGTGTTCATCTGTTTACATGCTATAGGTACAAAGGAAAATAATTATAGATACATCTTTATGCTTCACGTGTACCTGTATTCTGCAGATTTCCTAAAGCTTTTCCCGGTCATTAAATCTTTTAAGAGAATTTTTAGGATTCTAGCGTTTTGTGTGAAGTGAGTAGATGTTGAGGTTAGGAAATACTGAGCTTGTTGAGATTTAGTTACTTTATGGTATTTGACAATATGGGTAGTTTCTTAAGTATTAGTAGTTTGGTTTGGGGGCAGGTTGGTTTTTCTTTTTGTCTTTTCTGTGTGGTATCATTTTAAAGATGAAATCTAAAATTCTGGAAAACAAATAGTAGCTTAAGGGAATGCACAGTACTTGTCACGCATTGGGCACTCAGTAAAATATTGGATGAACATTAAAGAGGGAAGAATAATACCCTGTGTATACCGTTCATAGCATCTCTCGTTACTCGGTGCTCAGAGCTCCTCCCATGGGAAGAATCTTGTGTTTGCACACGTGCCCTTACTTTACAGTCTATATCTACACATTCCTTAGAGCAGCAGAGAGCTGGTCCTCTTGTGTCTTTCCTCGCATCACAAATGATCTGACCATAAACAGTTTATAAACAGAATTCTGGCATTGGTTACTTAATTGTGTTCATCAGTGTAGCCACTGGGTTTTCATAACATTGTAATGACCTTTTATAACTCACATTCCCTCTGCCTCTAAGTGTGAGTGGTAAACCAGAAGGTATATATTAGGAGAAGTATTGAAATTTCACTTGCCATTGAAAACTGTCAAAAATAGATTTTCCTATCACTAGAAAAAATGAATATGATACTTTGTATTTTATACTCTCTCTTTAACTTGATATCATTCACTTTTATGTACGTCCTAAGCCTTTTGACCCATTAGGATCTTACCAAAATATTTGCTACATATAACATGAATAGATTGTCCTCTGTTACAGAGTTTGGTTGCAGCTAGGCTTATACTTGGAACTTGTTTTTTCCATGCTTTTGTTCCTCTTTCCTTGTTATTCTCTGATCTTTCTTTCTCTGGCTCCTATTATTAGATATGACACCAAATTTTAAAATATTGAGGAGCAGTTTAGGAATTAGAATCTTTGCCTTCTGTACAGTAGCTTTTAAAAAAAATTCAGTTCGGATGTTTTGGATTGTATGTCTAGGCAAAGTATTAGAACAAATAGCATCTTTAGCCCTTTATCGCAACTTAGTTTCTTACCTGTCATATTCAGAGATTCTTTGTCTAATCGGACCGACGTAACCAGGGCTCTCCATCCCTGGCTTCTTTGGCAGCCGCTTCCTGAGCAGTGCTTAGCAGCGAGCCTTCTCATTGACGATCTTGAATTTGGAATCCATTTATACTCAGAATTTCATGGTTGGGGCCTTTTCTCCCTTCCTGAATTCCAGAATGCAGACGTCTCCTATCCCTTCAACAACTTCAGTGTTCAGTCTAAAGAACAACAGTTTTTAAAATCGTGTTAGTCATAGATTTATTCTCAGCGATTTCTTTTTCACAGACTTGGGTCCTGGCCTCTGATTTCTCCAACCGTTCCTCCACATTCTCCATGTGCCCGTCTAGTTTGTCGAGTTTTGATGAGCAGTTCTCTACTTTGCCCTCCAGTGAGGACAGTGTGTCCCTGCATTTCCCTGAATCTCCCATGAAGCAACTCACTCCGCTCGTGGAGGGACCACGCACCCTGCCGCGCTGTGGACCAGGTCAGCCCGCCCAGAGGAGAGAACGCGAGGTGCCACCCCAGGCAGGGCGTTGGGAGCAGGGACCACAGACACTGTTCTCACCACAAGCATGACTTTTCCGTGATTTTCAAAACAAGTTCTTAGGTTGTTTAGCCCTTCGAATGTAAGTCACCTGACTCCCCATAACTCACAAGGCATAACTCACGGGTGCACCTTTGAAAGGCAGCTGGTTGTGGCCGTTCAGGCTTCAGCTCTTCTTTTTCGGTTTAGTAGCAGCCCCTGTTGAACTGTGATACTGACAGCCCCAAAATTCTCACAGATTTTCAGCTTAGAGTAATGGGATATTTAGCCTTCCAAAACCCTTCAGAACACTGGGCTGTCTGCTCTGTGTTCTGTCTTTAATTTGTCCTGGGACAGCTTCTGTTAGTCACAGTGTATCAGAAATCATGGCTCAGATTGTACACTCTGCTGATTTTATTTTGGACGCAAGTGGAATTGGACCCCATTAACATGCCAATCCTCAGAGTTTGATTCGCACTTACACTTCGTACGCATGGGTGCCAGAATCCAGAATTGCTCGTGTGGGTTTCCTAGTTGGGTGAAAGCTGGTGATTACTGAGGTCAGACCAGGAAGAGTTGTTACAGCTCGTAGAGCCGGACACTCTGCCGTGTTTACCTGCTGGTGCTTTACTTGGCTGATTTTTTTGTGGAACATTATGTCTCTGAAATAAATAGATAAATACTGGGTTTATTAGTTACGTGTTGTTACACTGTACTCTAAATAGATTTGTCTAGAATTAGCTGAAGTCCTGTCGTAGTCTTATTTTACTGATTGTTTGTTCAGAATAGTAGAATTATGACTGAGAATTGATGTTTTTAAAGCATATTCTTCTTGGAACTCAGTAGTATCCCAAGAGACATAGCTGAAGTTGTGTTTTCATCTGTTTCTCACTGGCTAGTGATGTCACGTGACGTGCGGTCAGTAGGCTTTCTAGACTGAGTGCCTTAATATTCTTGCGTGAATCTGTCACTTTGGTGTGGATATTAAGACTTACTTGTGAGCTCTACTCTTCAGGCTAGAGCTGTAGTCTGTAGAGCAAGTGATAGTCTCATCTCACTTGAATGTTTTTAATCGCACATGCATTGTTAAGCCAAAAGTAGAATTTCCTGAAAGGGGGGATGATACTGTGAAGCCCTTTTACGTGATGTGTGTTCAAAAGAAAAAGCTTAGATTTAGGATGGAACTTCTTATGGTATATGACCTTTTAAATTATTTTTTGATCAAATGACTTGTAGGAAGGAATTTGATGTTTGTTGAAAATGTTGTTAATTAGATTTAAATTTTGCAGATAGTTTTTAAGAAACAGCAAGAACATTCAGAGAAATTTACTGTATTTCCCACTAACTGCTTCCCATTCCAGAGAGCTGTGTCATCCTTTTGAGGCTGTAGGAGGGGGTTTATCTTCCTGATCACTTTTTTCATCCTTGTCTGTCTCAACAGACTTAAAGGGATATTTTATACTTACCTTTTGGTATATGGTTTTTAAAACTATTGTTAAAACAGAACTCTTTCGATTTATTATAAGTTTATGTCTGACTGCTGGTGAAGAATGTACTGGAAGCAAACCATTTTAGAGTTATAGATTTTCTTTTATTAAATAAGGGGATAAATGTCAATGGAGATAACTATATTTGGAATTTATTGAACATTTATATATGAAAGGACTGGTAAACAAATTTCTTGAATGAAAGTTAAGGAAAATCAGTTTTTAACACACAATCATTAAATTTTATTTTTAAAGCAGAAATACCAGATTCATCAATGTGGGAGAATCAAGATTCTGCACAAACAAATGGAATTGATTCTGTTTTGTCAAAGGCTGAAATCGCATCTTGTAGTTATGAAGCCAGGTATGTAGAAATTAAGGGTGTTGTAATACTTAATGAATAATTAATTTACTTAATCATTTTTATATAATCTTTTGAAGTGGATTTAGACATGCTGGTCAAGCCTATGACTTAAATGTTAGAAACATGTTATGGAAAGAAATCTTTCTAGCCTTAATCCCTTCAGTTTCCTTTTCTTTCCCTTCACAAATGCTAGATAACTTCAAATAAATACCTTAGTGTCCTGATGAACCAGTGGGTCCTATGGTGGAAACCAAAAGAAGCTGGACATTGTTGTTTTTTAAACCATTGTCTCTTGAAGTATAGAATTAAAGAATTAGATATTCTTGAATAGGAGAGGGCCTTAATGTCATCTACTCTGATCGTTCCCTTTTGGCACCAGGATCCCTTGTTTAATTTAAACATCCTAATATTTTTTTTTTTAACTTATGTTAAAACTTGATTGCCTGTTAAGTTATAACTAAACAGTTCCATAATGGCATAACTAATCATCTCCTCACTTAAAGTTGCAGTTGTCAACCTGTTAGCACTAATCCTAATTACAACCAGCTGTTTCAGTACTAAAAAAACAGACATATATATCATATATCCTCATACTTTAAAAAAATTAATTGTTTTTTAAAAATCGATTATTATAGTTGTAAAAATGGAGTAATAATGAAGTGATTAATTTTTTTTTTTTTTTGCGGTACGCGGGCCTCTCACTGTTGCGGCCTCTCCCGTTGCGGAGCACAGGCTCCGGACGTGCAGGCTCAGTGGCCATGGCTCACGGGCCCAGCCGCTCCGCGGCATGTGGGCTCTTCCCGGACCAGGGCACGAACCTGTGTCCCCTGCATCGGCAGGTGGACTTTCAACCACTGCGCCACCAGGGAAGCCCCCTGAAGTGATTAATTTAAAAGAGTATTCTTTATTTTTTCTTTCTTTATAACTGAACACAAACATTTTTACCTTTATAGCACAGCAAGCATTTATTTACACATTGTTGGCAAGTGTTAAAGTATTTACTAATTATAGAAGCAGAGTCAAGTCACATCAGCTACATTTTTCAGCCTTTTTTTTTTAGATAGTGTCTTTATGGCTTAGTCATTCATACTTTTAAAAAATTGAGTTACAATTGACATGTGACCTTAACTGCATACAACGACTTGATGTATAGAACATTTTTCAGTCTTGACTTAAAGTTGGGGTTATTCAAGCAAGTCCAGTCTGAACAAAAAGCATCTCAGCACATCATCATCTGTCCAGAGTAGTTTGCTTAAAGCTTGCCAATTATTTTATAAAAAGGATATTTAAGAAAAAAGGATTATATTCAAACATGCATAATTATAAAAAATTTTTTTATATAAATTTATTTATTTTTGGCTGTGTTGGGTCTTTGTTGCTGTGTGCAGGCTTTCTCTAGTTGCGGCAAGGGGGGGCTACTCTTCGTTGTGGTGCACGGGCTTCTCATTGCAGTGGCTTCTCTTGTTGCAAAGCGCAGGCTCTAGGCGCGTGGGCTGAATTCAGTAGTTGTGGCACACGGGCTCAGTAGTGTGGCTTGTGGGCTCTGGAGTACAGGCTCAGTAGTTGTGGCACACGGGCTTAGTTGCTCCGTGGCATGTGGGATCTTCCCGGACCAGGCCTCGAACCCTTGTCCCCTGCATTAGCAGGCGGATTCTTAACCACTGCGCCATCAGGGAAGTCCATAAAATATTTTAAATTATTTTCTGTTTATGACTTGTCAGACTTTCACTCCTGAACTAACTTCGCCTTTCTCATTGATAGAATTATGTTTTAATCTTTTTCATTGTTAGTTGTTAATGTAGCCAAGGAATTGAACCTTACTTTAATGAAAGAGATACGTCAGATCTAAATACATTTTGCATTATTATGTTTTTATTAGCACAGGCGGTTTAGAGCTGATTGTACGCTGTGCTCCGTAGGCTGGTCTTTTCCCCCTGCTGAGTTACAGGCAATGCGCTTATGATGACTGGGCATCGTGTCCTGTATCTGGAGGGTGTGATGAAACCCAGAAACACATGCTCAGTCTTTGGATTTTGCTGTTGGTGAAACGGAAGCGCCGCCTTTCCATACTGCCTCTGCAGGATCTCCCTTCTCTCCCAGCGGCCCAGGTTGGACGCTGGCTGGAGAGTGAGCACCAAGGCCACCTCAAAGTTAGAAGCACTGCCAACTCCTGGTGGCTTTCAAGTCCAGTAGCCACAGATATGTCTGGGCTCGGGCCTCTGTTGGTGTTTGGATGGTGCCTTTGTATTGTACCACAGATGGCGATTGTCAGGCTGAATGTGTCACAGAATAATTGGGGTGACGATATATGAGGGCCAAATGCTGTGTAGCAAGCCATTTGAGTGTCGCTTAGAGGGCACATGTTTATTTTAAGGAGATGCAGAAAGTGATGAAAATGAATTTGTTTTAGTTGGCGAAGAAAAACATGAAACCCACAGCAATGGGGTTTTTGTCCTTTAATTGTAATTTTTCATTTTCTAGAAGGCTATTCCTAATGAAGGTCTCTTGAATACCCTTTTGTGTGTGTGTGGCTATCTAATAGTTTTTTTTCCTTAAGTGAGAAGTTTTTTTTTAAATAAGTATATTCACAGTTGGATCAGAGAAATGTCTCTGGGCTGGGCGTGGGGGCTGTGGTGGGCGTGGCCCTCCCGGCTTTAGGCACTGGTGAGTTCTCAGTAGACATAGACGTTATGCTAACGGGGTCAGCAAAGGGTGGACCGTGAACATGAGACGGCAGAAGTCATAGGAAGGTGGAATGTGTATATGTAGGTCGGAATGTGTGCTCATACTTACCATGGAGAACTAGCTTTATACATAGTAAGTTAGGAGGCGGATAATGTAGACGGATAGGCAACGGTAGACAAATAGCCTAGAATCATAGCTTTTCAAGAGCGAGTCATCTCTGAGCCTCTGCTCTCACGTGCTTCTGTAAGGGCGCTTTACGGTCCTTACCTGGTATGGACGCCCTTCGGTATACTGAATTGACAGTGACAGTGATTTACTGGTTACTTTTTTTAACATTGTCTAATGCAACAGCAAATACCGTTGTCCGAGCATACAGCACGTGGAAGAAGGAGTGTGCTGCCTTCACTTTAAACCTGGGAGTAAACTGCTTCTGCAGCTTATGAAGTACTGGTAGTCTTTGCTGCCTGGGACTTCATTTGAGAGGAATAAATGTCACTGTAGTGAAGTTATTTCAAGCTGTTTTGTAATTGTCTTTACTCATTTATCTTATTTTATTTTATTTATTTATCTTATTTTATTTTTTTGGCTGTGCCGCATGGCTTGCGGGATCTTAGTTCCCCAACCAGGGATTGAACCCGGGCCCTTGGCAGTGAGAGTGATGAGTCCTAACCACTGGACCGCCAGGGAATTCCTACTCATTTATTTTATATGAAACAAGTCTAATTTTCCAACCACCAACTCAAGGTCTTTTGCTTCCCTTAGTTACGGGAAGCCTCTGAGGTTTACCCTTTTTTTGTTCATAACTCCCTTACAGTGTCTAGTGATCCCTAAACATTTCTCCATGAGATGTAGGTATGCATGAGTACATAAGTTGATGTATTACATTTTTCTAAGTAATATGTCCCTGAAATTTTTTGTGTAAGTGAAAACTTTGAAAATGAATTTATTGTAAATATAAGAGTATTGTGCTTACAGGAATTATGTAAGACATTCCTTTAAAAATGAATAATTACCTTTAATTTGTAAGTTTAGCTTTTTTACATGCTGAAGCTATGTATCTAGCATTACTGGAACGTTTCAGCTTGTTTATGCACTTCTCTGCAGACTTGTGAACTCCTTTGCACACACTTCCCTGCCTTATGAACCAGGTCCGTCACCTTGAATCCGTCCTCTCCTAGGCCAGTGCAGGTCATCCTCGTGGATGTCATGGGATACGCTTTATTCACATAGTGCCCGAGACATAAATTTTTGTTAAATGAATGAAAGCATTGTTTTCTTCACCATGATTTGTTAATCATCTCTTCCTTTACTGTCATTTTTCCCTCTTATTAGATATTTCTCATCTACTCTGGGCTTTGCAGTCTGATGATCTATTATTGTTTTTATATACATTAAAAATGCATGTCATTTTGCATTTCTTTCATCTGAATGGCTTGGCGGAGTCTTTTCCTTCTTGGCTCTCTGGTGGTCTGGGATGGGCAGGCGCCACAGGCCTCTGTGCCACAGGGCACACCTCCGTACTAAGTGA